TAATAGAAAATCATAGTTCCCTAAATGAGCATGTAGCTCATCTGAAACTTTTATAACTTCCAGTGACAGGTGCAAAAAAGTTTTATACGTAGCATTTTTTTCAGTACATCTTTCGTCATTTCTTCTATATTTCAGCGGAGAACATTTCATCAACTCCAAGAGAAGTAGCTTCAGTGAGAAACTCTCCCGCTTCCAAGTATGTGCAAATCAGCAAATTTTCGAATTATCGATTCTCGAGAAATCTCTAATTTTTAGATCAGTTCCACAACGACCTGTCCCGGAGCCTGAAACAGCTCTTGCGTTGCAAAGGTTGACCTAATTTGTGACATTTACGCTCTCAGCAAAGCTGTAAAGGTAACTCTATTTAGTATCCTTCTTGCGCATGTAAAGGAGGATTTGAAGAAAGAGAAGAAACAACGAGAAAAGAAGGGAAAACAAAAGGAAAAGCGCAAGGTTGGTTCTCACTGCGGTATCGCACTTGTAAACCTTCCCCAAACAAACTTGGGTTCCTATTTCTTTTGTGACCATGAGTTGCTTTGATTGCAATTGTATGATTGCAAAACCGTAGTTTGGTGAGAGTGTCTTCCTCTCCTTTATTAAGTTAAACTTTGGCAGAGAAATAGCGAGGAGTCAGTTACTTTCTTTTACTTTCTACCGGCGTTGTACTCATTAAAAGGATAATGCTGAAGCAGAACTTTTCTTTGCGTTACCACGTAGCACAATCATTCGTTCACGATAAAACACCTAAAAGATTCTGCCCAATTTTGTCAAAACTTAAGTCTTTGCTATCGGTCTTTTAGCAGGAGGAGCAAGAGCAACTTCGTAAGCAAGAGCAGGAGATCCGCGAACAGCAGCGCATTGCTGAAGAGCAAAGACTGGAAAAGGAACGAGTTGAGCAGCTGCAGGCTGAAGAGAAAGCCCGTTTACATCTCCTGGAGCTTACTCGAGATACCGCTACGCCTCCAATGAGGCAAGAGATACCTGAAGGTAGGGCATACTGTTAAATCTTTGCATTTGCTTTTAAGTTTGTGTAAAAATCAAATACTTCCAGCATCGCCGAAGTCCTTGAAGATTGTCATTAGTAATCCTCACAGCGATTCGGCCAGTTCTGCTTTTTCACCTCCGCGTAAGTATTTCAATGATTAGCTTTTACTTCAACTGTCAAAATCATAACTCTAGCTTTTATTGTAGAAGATCAGCGGCGATTAGACGAAGTAGACTTTGAAATTGCTTTCCCAATTAAGTAGGTTATTTCTATTGCTTGCAGCACAAACACCACAAGCTATGTCCGAAATACGTCTCACTGCGTCTCCTACGAGTAAGTCATTTGCTATTTCATTATAAGCCATGATGATTGCTAAACCTTATTTCTTACATTTTTTCTTCTGTTTGCTTTTCATATATGAACTGAGTTAAGCTAAAGTAAGGAGTGGAGGCCATCTTCGTCAGAAAAGTTCATGCATATTGTCATCATAGCAACAATTAAATCCTTATTCAGCTGATCCCCATTACGACAATGACTCGGATACCATACCATTCTTTGATGATGCTGTTCCTGTAGCTACCGACGAAACGCCGGTACCATTGGTAACCGCGTTCCCTCCCAACATAGACGTGCATGATTCTACGTCGCAGCATCATAAGAAAAAGAAGAAGAAGGATAAGGACAAGGTTGTGGTTTCAGGGCGTTAGTCATTGAATGTTCGTGCATAAACTAATACTGCTTTGAGTTTAAGGAAAAAGATCGTTCAAAGTCTCCACACAAGAAAGATAGGAAGAAGGACAAAGAGCATAAGAAAAAGAAAAAGAAAAGAGAACATGACAGAAGTCATGAAAGAGATGAAGAGGAACACGGAGAGCAGAAACATGCTAGAAGCAGCTCGACTGGAAAAGAGTGTGAGTGTTTAAAATTTATGTTGATTTTGGTCTTTTGAAATTCTGCTTATTGCTTCAAACCTTCTTGTCCCTCTTAACATTTTAAATTTAGCCGAAACTTTCATTGCTTGTTTTAGCCTCGCATGAACCAAAGTTCACACTAAAAATTCGTATCGGTGATCAAACCTCAACTACTGAGACGGTGGCTGAGCCCAGTCCGCAGTTGGAGACGGTCAAAATCAAGTTTAAAAACCTTCCAGTGTAAGTGAAATTTTCTGTTGATGTCAGAGTGGTTACGAATTTTTGAACAAGT